GCAACCATTAGCCAAATATACTATCAATAAAATTCTGGGTCACAAGTATTCACCTTAATATTTAAAAAAAAAAAAAAATTTTTAACAGAACATATTTTAGATATGTTTCAATAGATATAAAAAAATCATTCTTGCCAGTCAGAATGTCTTACTAGGCAACAAAGAAGAACTATTAGACTCAATTAAAAATGCTTTTGAGAATATAAGTAAAATAGCATTGATTAAACCCCTGTTAATTGAAGGTACACCATACCTAACAGATCAGTGGATTATAATTTTTAAGACCATAGAAGATTCATTTTTAGAAGTTAAAATACCAATATTTACCATATTTGGGATAACAAGATCATAACAGAATGGAAGACAGCAGCAAAAGTATGCTACTTCTGTGAAAAGAAGGCTATATTAAAAAGAAATGCCAGCTATTTCAGGAATCTGTAGCTCTTTGCCAACAATATTAAGATTTTAAAAAAAGAATTAGATCATACAACAAAGAAAAATTAGCTAATATCAGACCAGAACAAGAACCCATACAGGTAGTTCTGCTAACAAAGAAGAAAACCCATACTTGCAAGATGATATATCTATTACAGATGGTGTAGGCTTACAAGAAAATGATTTAACACAAAATGAACAAAAAGAACCTTTGTTATTTTCAATAGAAATAGACAATAATAAAAGAAACTCTATACTAAGTAAAGATAAGGACCTCTCACCTAACCCAATATCAGCATCACGCAATGAACTGGCTGCACTGTATCTTAATGCAGAACCACAGACAGGAAGCAAAAATACAGAAGAAACATCACTTATAATAGAAATTGACAATGAGGAGACCTCTATGCTATTTCGTAAAAAAGACAAAGATAAAAAAAGAAAGAGCTTATAGAATAAGAACCAATTAAGGCCTAGCCCTTACAGAAAATAATGTAATAAGGAACTGCTCTCACAGACGTAATTGGTCAAAATTCTTGTACATTTATATGCCTCCAAAATTCAAACTTAAAATCGCAACTTTGAATGTAAAAGGACTAAATGACTGAGGCAAACAGCAAAAAACATTAATACTTTTAAAATCTTACAATTTAGATTTAATAATAATACAAGAAACCAATCTCAACAATGAAAATACTAGAAACTTTTTAAAACACCAATGGATATTTGATTCATTCTGGTCAAACAAAGTGGCAATTCTGGCTGAAAACTGAAACATTACCTTTAAAAATATGAAAGTAAACAATAATAGATGAGTTATTACAGCATTATTTGTCTACAAAGGTCTCTTATTTCATATTACTAATATGTATACATCTTTGAACATTAGCAACAGAGTAATATTTTTTAATAACTGGACTTTTCAAATAAAAGAAAATGCAATAAACATTATAGCAAGAGACTTTAATGTAAACCTAAAACCTGAAGCAAACAGAATAAGTCAAGCAGTACTTCAGCCAGACCCATCTAAGAACTAACTGTTGAATTTAACAAGAAATTTTTCAAATACTGCAGAAATTGCAGGCTCTAAGTCCTTTCTTACATTTTACCAAAAAACACAAGGTAATAACATGATGGCAACATGTTTAGACTACATATTTATCGATGAAAATCAATCACACTTAGTTTCTAAGGTTACTACACATTTTGGTAACTTAGACCATCTCCTAGTTAGTTGCTTACTCAACTCCAACTGAAAACGAAAACAACTGTCTAATTAGTACTTTGATAAAACCATGTTCAATAATGAAAAACTTAAAAAAGAGGCCTTAGAGGAAATTAGTAAACCAAATGCAACAGAGAATTAGGATCTTTGCAAGGTCTATATACAATTGATTATAAGAGTATTTAGAAAGCCAAAAACAACAGAAAGCAAAATCTCAAAGCTTAACAATAAAATAACAAAGTTAAGTAAAAAAATAGCTGGCTCTTTTAACACAAAAAGCTTGTCTTCATTTTTAGATAAGCTTAATATATAGCTACAAAAGGAATTAACAGCTTTGGCAGAAAAATGACATATCCATTCCAAAGTGCAATAGATAGAACAAGATGAAAAGTCAACGAAATATTTCTTTGTAAAATATAAACAAAGGAAATCCTAGGCAGCCTATTCAGAAATTAAAGTTCCAAATAGTAATCATCAAAATAGTAAGAACATTTTACAGTATATTAAAGAACAATATGCAGAAACCTACAAAGCAAAAGAGTTTGACAAGAAAGTAGCAAAAGAAATCACAGAAAACCTTCCACAAGTACAATATAAATCCAATAATGTTTTGGTCAAAAGAATTACACAAAAAAAAATAATAGAAGTTATACAAAACCTACCAAAAAACAAGTCTTCTAAAATAGATGATTTAACTTATAAGTTCTACAAACTTATAAAAAAAACAGTAGCACCAGTTTTGAAGAAGATCTTTAATAAAACTCTAAACTCTGGCATCCTTCCAGCCTCATGGTGCAAGAATTTAATTATACTAATTCTGAAAAAATCAGAAAAGCTCAACAATATAAACAACTAGAGACCTATTTCGCTAGTTAATAGTGATGCAAAAATCTTTATGAAGATCATAGCTAACAGATTAAATTTAATTTGTAATGATATAATTTCAAGCCACCAACAAGACTTTATTATAAACAGGTTTATAACAGACACAGCTCTTGATATCTTAACAACAATAAGAAACCAAAAGGATAACTCTAAGCAACACTGAATGCTATTTGTTGATTAACAAAAAGCATTTGACAGAGTAAATCATGGGTTCTTAAAATTAGTACTGAACAAAATAAACTTTGATCCAAGATTTATTAACTTAATTAAAAACCTTTTCACTAACCAGGAGGCCCATATAGTAGAAAGAAATAACCTATCTAAATCCTTTAGAATAGAAAAAGGTGTGTGACAAGGAGATCTTCTCTTTTCTCTTCTATATGTATTAGCATTTGAACCAATGCTAAAACAATTAGAAAGAAAACTCAAAGGAATTCCACTAAAAAAGCAGTTCTTTAAAACTACAGCATATGCTGATGATTTAACAATTGATATAAGATCAACCACAAACTAGAATATATTAAAACAAATATTTAAAACATACAAGTTTGCATCTAATGCAAAAATTAACAAACATAAAACTAAACTAGTTCTACTTACTGCAAGTGCTAAACAAGTCAGATTATCAGAAAAAGAACACTTCAAAAAAGTAACAGAATATAAAATATTAACCATTCTGAGATATATGATTCAACCTAATGGATAATCTAAAAAAGACCTATGGCCAACAATGATCAAAAAGCTAAAAAACTTTTTAGAAGGCATAGTCTAAAGAAACCTTTTACTTAAAGAAAAAATATTAATAGTTAAATCACTAATAATCTCAAGAATTTGGTATACAGCATATCTTTTATCACCAAACAGAAAACAAATAACAGAGATCAATCAGATAATTACATTATAAATAAAAGAAACTTCAAAGATGTTACCTAAATACTCAGTCTTTTAGCTTTCTGCAGACCAACAAGAACTAAAAGCTCCAATTATGAAAGATATACTTGACACAAGGTTACTAACAGTTTGGTTAAAGCTTTTAACAGAAAACTTTTTATGATCTAAATTCAAGAGAAGAAAGATTATAATGATAATAAAAGAAAAAAAAATATCTCAGTTCTACAAGCATTAAAAGGATCACCAATAAAATTAGCAGTTTGGCCAACAGAATAAAAACCATATATTCTTGTCTAAAAAAGAATAAAAAGAACAGTCGATGCTTCTACTGATTGGTCTTGGCATAAAAAAGACCTTATAGCAGGAGGAAAAAAAAGAAATAAAATCTTAGTAAAAAGTTTAGCAGAATCCTTAAGGAAAAAAACTACAAATCCTGTAAATACAAACCTGAAAAGAAGCCTTATTAACTAATAGTTAGATGTAAAGACAATAGAAAATAAAAAAAAAGATATTGCCTAGTGTCTCTTTTACAGAGCTCTTCTACTTGGTTATCGACTGCATTATGTGAACCCAGAAAAAAGTAATGACTGTATATATTACATTGACGAACTGCAAACTATTGAGCATTTTATTATAAACTGCAAAATCAGTCAAAAAATTTGGAAGCTAGCTTACTTCTTTCTTGACACTAAACAAGCCAAACATTCTCTCAGAACACTAGAAGAAATCTTTAATGCATCAAATATAAAGAGTAAAAAAGAATTACAAACAGCATTATAGCTGCATATTAACACAATCTATGAAATCTGGTGCCAATATACAAAAGTTAAATGGTAAAAAGATTACCAAACTCTAACAAGTATACTAAATACAGTTAAATGTTGTTTAACAATGAAATCAAAATAGTACAGTTTAGCTTAAAAAGATTTTTATCTAAAAAGAAAAAGAATATATGTAAATATTTATATTACAGATAATAATAAACATTATTAATAAAAGAGTACATACATGCCTCTGACCTGAGCATTAGGGTTATAATAAAAAAAAAAAAAATTTTACCAAGTCTATACTATTCTTTGCATGTAAGATATATTAAATCTTGAAATAAAGAAATTATTTTTAATTTTATCTATAAATGCAATTCATTACTAAGCTAAATAGTTAAACAAAGTAACATAAACAAAGTACATAATTGATTAATAAACATGGTATAGTTAATTGAAAAAATATTATAACCTAACATATATATTATCAAATATTTATTAGTCACTTTATATTAGACAATGTTGTTTAGACTATAGTTTATTTTATATTTTTTTAGTGCTATTTTTTTGAAAAAATAAATAGTTTTTTAGAATTTTATTCTATAAACAAATAATTAATTGAATTTAAACTTATATACATTCTAATAAAAAATATATAAATAAAATTTAAAATAAATTTAGTAAATAGTAATAATACAAGATTATTATTAAACCAAGTTCTTCTACTTTTGGATAAAAAAATATATAAAAGTTTAAAGATAGAGTACAACATTAATTATTTCTGTATATAATAAGTTGCAAATTTTTACAAGTTTTTTTTATATTTAATTTTGAAAATTATATAATTTGGTGCACTATGCATCATGGCACACCTATTACATAATCAAATAAAATTTTTTTTTATTAATACCTCTTATAATAATTTAATTGGCTAGTAAATTTGACAAAATTTCATGTGTAGATGCATCTTATTTTGTACTTATCAGTATTAACCAAATATGTAAATGAACATTTAGTGATGTAAATTGAATTTGCACAGTAGTCACAGTATATATAGATTTAAATTTGTGCATATATCAATGTATATAGCACATGTATAAAATTTTTTTTGTGTATATTTTTTTGTGTTTGCATAAATAAAAATTTTTTAAATTTATAATACTGTAAATATTTCAAGGCATATCTTGCTTAAACTTACAACTATCTCTTTTATTAAAATATAACAGATTTGGTATAAAATCCCAAAGGATTATAAACTAGACAATATGGTTTTAATTCTGTCAAGATTTTGTTTTTCAGACTTTAAACAATTTCGGTACTTACTTTGTCAATATAAATACCTTTAAGCATATTACTAATTATCCTAAATTAGTTTTCTTTTACTTATTAACATAATAGAAAATTTTAATAAGCAAACTCTAAACAAAAGATTAATTATAGCAGAGTATAATGATGATAATGTTAATGTTGCAACATATTTTAAAGAGTTTTTTCAGTATAATAAAAAAATAAATTACTCATATAGCAATCAGGAAGCAATAACTTTGAAAGAAAATGATTCTTTTAATAATTTTAATAAGGCCAAACTTTACATATAGCAGTTTGCTAAATACAAAGAATTTAAGATTAAATGTGAATATGTAATAATAGAAAATACTGCAGAAAATGAAAAGACAATTCAAAAACAGGCAAGTCAAAGAATGTTGAAAAGGCAAATACCTTAGCTTAATTATTATGCTTATAGCATATTAATCTGTTACATTCTTTAAAAGATAACTCTGAGTTTCATGTTATTGTTATTATTTTTCATAATACACATAATTATAAGCTATTATCTAAAGTAATAGAATTTAAAAAAAGAAAAAAATTTTCAGAAGAAATGCAACAAGAAATTATGTTTTTTGTTGCAAAATGTCATCTTTAAAGCAATTATAATTCGACATATCTTGAAGAAAAAGGTTTTACTTCATCTGCTGTTCTCTAAGAATTTGTATGCTGTGATCCAATAATATCAACTATCAAATAATATAAATAAAAGTGATGCATTACAGTTTTATAAGGAGCTATTGTCAAAACAACAGAAAAATACTCTATAGTTTGTTGAAGCAATATGAGAAAGTGAAACTAATATATTGGTTAACTTGTTCTAAATGAGTTCAAAACAAATTTTGTTGTAGTGTAAATTTAGTAATGCAATCAGTTATGATAACACATCAGGTACCAATAGATACCATATGCCTCTCTTTTTGTTTGTAGCTTAAGATAATAACATGAATTTGCTTAAGCATTAGTTAGTAATAAATTAACAGAAACATACCAATAGGTATTTTAAATAACTAAAAAGACAACTAACAATAGATATTCTTATGTAATTGTAACTGATGATGATTTAGCAATAGAGCATGTGATAATTTTGAAGTATCCAGAAACATAGCATTTATTTTATATCTGGCACATCAAAAAAAACATAAAAAAGATACTGTATAGTAAGTTAGATAATTTATTTGATGAATTTTATAATAATTTTAGCAGTATTAAAATGCAAAGACATCACAGGTTTTTGAATTATATTGGATCAACTTTTAAGCTTTTTATCTGCAACATCATATCTTAAATATCATCTTTATAAATGTTGATTTTCTCAAGCATGTACTTTTACAATGATAACATTTATGCTTGGTATTCAATTAACATTGTTTGTTAAAAGCCAAAATGTATGCATTAAGTAGATATTAGAAAACAGTAACATATCAATTTGTGATTTAGATAAGGTTTTAATGGAACAAAGTGAAGAAAAAAAAAAAAAACAATTTGAAGAATGGAAACATAGCATTGCTTTTATAACAAGCATTGTTACTATTTTTTCTACAATTGAATTATTAATTAAGCAATATTTAAAGCCAAATGTTTTATGTTTTTTAGTAGAGCAGATGAAAGAAAGTTTATATTATACTTCTACCCAATCTTTAATTAAAGAAGTTAAATCACTTGCTAATAATGAAACTACTTTAAATGAAGATCTTAAAGATAAACTTGATAATGTCACTTCATGTACTAAATATTTTTTAAAAAATTTGAACCAAAGTGCAATTAATAAGGTATGAAAAGCATTGAGAGTTATGAGCTATAGAGTTAATCATTTTGTATTTCTATTTACAGATAGGTTATACTGTTGTATCTGCCTCTTACAAAAAATAAAAGGACTAGTTTGTAGGCATTTTTACCATTTCTTAAATATTACAGAGAAGGCATGATTCAGTTTACAATTAATTGCAAATCAGTCAATTCCAAGAGATAAGCAAATAGATACAGCAAAAGAGCATATACATTTGGGTTAATAATTTAGTAATGTAAATACAGCTATTAACATTGATAAATCTGTGAAGAGTAATAAAAATGAATTTGTGTAGTTACAACTAATTGCAACTGATGAAGTAAAAGAATCTGTAAATAAAGAGTTCATTAATAAAAGGATTTTATATAAAAAGGTCTAGGGCATGCTATGTACTGCAGTAAATAAATGTGTATTGTATTAAGATAATAAATTCATTTATTTAATTGAGAATTATTTAGAACAGGTTTGTGTTAAAGAAAATGAGTTGGTCACAATGCAAGAGATATTAGCACAAACTTTAGCTAAAGATAACATAGTAGAATTCACAAATTCTTATAAGATGGTTGGCAAGAAAAGACCCAAAAGAACAAATCAAAGTAAAAATATGCCACAAGAAACAAGCAGCAAGAAGAAACATGAATATACTTGCAAATTTTGCAAAGAACCTGGTCATAATATTGCAACTTGCCTATATAGAATATAAAAGATTAGTTTATTCTATATATATTTGCATGTTAGTATGCTATATGTTTGCACATTTGTATGCTATATGTTTGCATGTTTGTATGCTATATGTTTGCATATTTGTATTTTTGTATGTATGTAAGTATGTACTGTTCATTTGCATGTTGTAAATTTGCATATTTTGCTTGCTTTATTTCATATATGCATATATATATGTATATAGGTATTTTTTTTTTTAGATGTATATTATGTATAGTATTTTTTTTTTTAAATTTTAAGATGAGTACTTGCAATTCAGGATATTATTGATAGTATATTTGGCTAATGGTTGCATTACAACTACAAAGAGCAACCATAGAAAGAGTGTACAACTAGCTACTTATATAACTTTAGTCATTTTCTAATTTAAGTAGTTCGTTCAAAGATTTTACACTAGCTGCTATATCTGAAACCTGCTTGTAGATTCTTTATTTAACCACTTTAGTTTCCATATTTACCTATCTATCTCTGTCTACCAATGACTCTAACTGATGCTGATGAAAATATGCCATAACTACTAAGTTTTTAAAACAGTTTTTTGGAACTTTTGACTTTGTACTAAACCTTCCGAAATCTTCTGTATCTTATTCTTATAGCTAATTTGGTATCACTATAGCCAAGACCAATACTGGTGGTCAGGGCATATCATTAAACTGCTATGCTCTTGTAGAGTTTACTCCAACCCTAGTACTAACTTCACAATATATCTTTATTACTTTGGTATTCAATTCAAGTTCCACTAAGCTGCCATTTTAGATAGCTTAGAAAGGTAGATTGAAACTATACCTCTGGTTTACATGTTTGCTAACATATATTCTTTTTTTTCAGAACTCAGAAATTCTAGCAACCTAGTTGGTTCATCCAGTCTCTTCTCAAAGACTGGCATATTTGTCTAGTTTTACAAGTTTTAGCTTCATTTCATAAGTCTAGTTTTTATAGTAGCATTGTTAAAAATTCAAGTTACTTTTTTACTTAGATTTTCCAAGTAGGCTTTGTCTTTTTTTTTTTGGTTTCTATAATTTACATAGCTACAAGAACTTATTATAGGTTTGTACTATCTAATATTAGTTTGCATTTCTTCATGTAACCACAGACCTTGTTCCAAAAGACTATGTTATATGACTGTTATACAAATTTTATGTGACCTGCCAGTCATGCTAGTGCAATACAGATAATAAGTATCTTATTTTAACTAATTGCAAAAGACAGTTAACTATAATACAGAGAGAATTTTTAAATTTTTTGTTGATACTAGGATTTGAATTCTGAACTTGCCACTTGGAGGTTGACAATCTAACCACTTTACTAGGTCATTACACCTCTATTATGTATATTTATAACATTTCAATATAAATAATATAAATAAAATACTAGCCTTATTATTGCCCAATTAACTTGAATATATATATGAATTTGAAGTAATAGTTTTAAATTAAGTCATTCTTTTAATATACAGTATTCTTATTAATTTAGTTTATTTGCTAATAATTTAGCTATTGTTTTGAATTGCAGTTATATACTAAGTGTTAAATATTAAATTCTAAAACTTTAAAGTTTGAACTTCATAATTACTGAAATCGATTATTAGTTGAGTTAGTTTTAGATTTGTTCTTTTTCATATTAGTAACTATTAGAAAAGGTAAACTTTAGTTTAAGAAATGCTTTTTTCTACAAATAGCATGTACTATTTAATAATTAGAGTTAGAATAAAGCTGATATTGTTCTTTTCTGTATTAGAGTTATTAGGAAAAATAACTTTGATTTGAGAATGTTTTCTTATAAAAACTACATGTATCATTATAATTTTATATATGTATGCATGCAATTTTTTGCAGATTAGTATGTACATGTTTGTTATATAACAGTTGATAGGCTACAAGCACATGACTGTAGCAGGTGCTGATTGGTAACAATTATGTGACTTATAAATCAATATTATAAATAGGTCTACAGACATATACAGATCATATAACTTTTCATATACTTAACTTTAGAGTAAGTATATTAACTTCTGATGGAGTTTTAAATTTATAATAAGATATATGCAAATTTATGTGATCTGTATATGTTTGTAAACCATCTGTAATATTATTAGGTAATGTAATTTATATAATAATACTTGGGTCATATAACAAGTGCACTATAATGCAGGCATACTATTTTTTAAAATCCTTATATTTATTCTTATTTGTACAATATAACTATTGTTTTGTTGCACTAAAATGCTAAAAAATATTTACAGAATTAAACTATTTTTTTATATTTTCAAAACTACTATAGTGGTTTCTTTTAATATTAGAGTCATATTTTAAACATTTTGAGCAATAATAATATTTAACTATATAATTTACATAATTATAAATCTTTCTTGCAGGAAATGATGATAAAAACTCTTTCTGCAAATCCATTGCACAAAAATTAACTAAAAAACCATCCATCTAAAAATGTTCATAACTTTTAATTTTACTAAGACAATCTGTTCTGGTGTCTTAAGTAAACTTGTTCAGCTTAGTAGTTATATATACTTTGAAAATATTATAGATTTAGCTCTTAAACTTACGGAGAAAACTGTACTGATGGCCTTTGGTCTTCAATTTTAAAAAATTAACCCTTTCACAGTTTCTACTGCAATAACTTGTCTTATATCTTTAATTAAAGTTGTAGTACACACTTGTTTAATAAAAACAAGCTCTAAAAGAAGAATTTTGATTCAATATTGACAGAACTATAGCTAAACTTATTTTTTACTTTCTTGTAAAACTTTTTTTCTACTTTTTGTCCTTACACTATTCCTTTTTCTTTTACACGGATTTTGTGTAATCATACCATCATTTCCCAATATATACCTTATTAATTTACACCAAAATTTTGTAACTCATCTATTAATAGAAATTTATTGAATACAATTAGCTATTTCCATATTTGGTTTTTATTAATTTTATACAGCAATTTGTGTTGCAAACTTTAATTGTACCAGTACCCAAGTCATATTTGTAATCCTAACTATTCTAGTCATACATCAGTGTTACTTCTATAATACCTCAATCATACAACCCTTGTTCTTATCTATTACTCTTGTAAAATCAACTATCTAACTATTAGAAATCTTTTTAAGTTTCTAATACAATACTTATTTAATTTATTATAAATTTAAAAATGCCTACACTAAGCAACCAAGAGCCTGATATTGCAGACCTTGATTTCTTCTACCAAAACTTCTCTAACAATTTTGGAATTACTCTTTATGAAGAAGAAAATGGCAACAACATTCGCCCAATTTCTTCTAAAGTCAAACCAACTTCTTGTCTAATTAAAAATCTTAAAAATAACAAAATTACTCACTTTTTTTAAGCTCCCACTTTTACCTCTGTAATTACTTGTCTCTGTGCCAAATATCACACTTAAGCTACTAAATTCACTACAGTTCATGTTAAGAGTAATGCAAAAAAAAATCTTAACAAACCAGCTTAACAACTCCTAACTAATCTCTTTTCTTTAATCAACAATATTTCTCTATCTCTTACTTCTGATATATATTATCATACTTGTTTCAAATATTTTCTTCCAATTGGTTGTATCAAAAGAAATGACTAGCATTATCCTAATGAAAATATGTCACTAAAAACAACGAAGTCTACCATCTCATTTACATGACTGCCTCATCTCAACATGAAGCTAACTCATCTTAAACTAAGAAAAATCTCATTCAAACCTTTCAAAACATCCTACATGAATCTTCTTAAACTACCAATTTTTTTACTATCTCTTTCCACCAAACCTCAACTTCTTCTGACCTTATTGATTCCTTCTTTACTAGAATCATCAATACTAATCTTATCTCTAACCAACCCTCTATTACTAATATTTCTGATGATGCTAACTTAATAATTCTAACAATACTAACCCACCTAACAGTACTACTAACAAACCTTCTTCTCAAACCTATTCTAGCATTGCCAAACCAAAATTTAACTCTACATATAACTGGCTTGCAAATTTTCTAATTACTGAAGAAATGTAACCTATCAAAAAATTACAAACTACTTTTTCTCTTCAACTCTTCACTTTTCTTAAAAAATTTCTTTATGACTTTTATTCTGATAAAGAAATCAAGGCTGCTACCACTACTTAACCTGCACTAAAGGCCTCATTTTATTACATTATCTGCATCATGGCTGGGCAACAGCCAAAATTCTTAACTGACCTTATTTATAATAGCAATTCTAATATTAACAAAAGTATTACTATTCCTTTTGACCTTCTTGAATCTATTCTCAAAATTTTACTTCTTAAATTTACCACTATTCTTTTCACTAAACTTAATTATTTAGAAATTTTTGCATCTCTAGTCACTATTCTTCCATATACTGTTCATAATTGCCTCCAACTTTGTCTTAATATTGCATGTCTTTATCTTTTTTTATCTAATAATTATCAATCTATTGATTATCAAAAATTTGCTAAAAACTTACAGCTCAGACCCAAAAGATTCAAAATTGAATCTTTTACTCAAACTACTGACCTCTCACAAAAATATCCCACTATCCAATCTGATGTCAAATTTAACATCAAACTATTTTTTAATATTCTTAAAATATTTTTTTTTGAAAAATTTTGTATCTCCTTATTTAAAAATTCTTTTGACCATTTTAACTCCTAATTTGAAACCTACTATCTTTCATATAGTTGACAATTCTCATCTAATATTGAGAAAGAAAAAGTCAAAACTTTTCTTTGAATTCAATTCTATTAACACTTCATTCTTCAACTTTCAAAACACCTTCCTAAAACCTATACATTTCAAAAACCTAACTCATTTTATAAACAATATAAAAAAGCATCCCGAGTTGCTAACTTTTACTGTCTTATTTGTAATAATAAACTATAACAATATCTTGATAACAAAAAGTTCCATGACAGTATCAAACTTTTTAATGATATTCTAAACAAATCCTATCAATTATTCCCTTCCAAAGATGA